GGGACAGTCAGTCAGCAATGCGCTTCAGGGAACATATGGATATCACGTATCACACCGGCAGCACGTGGGACACATTCCAGGCCGACCCACAGCATAGACATGGTGACAAACGTATGCGACAACCAACAAAGCGGATACTTTGCTAATTGCAACAGGGCTGAGTGAAGAAAACCTGAGCATTACCTTCCAGATTATGAAAAATACAACGTGCACACAAGAAGCAAATCAGGCGAGGCTACCAAAACACGAGACCACCGCAGACATCGCACATGCAGTGCAACTCAATCATACAACCATCATTAACACCTTCAAAAACGGCACGGCAGCAAGTAGGGCCACCAGCCATTCGCACGCTTCAGGCGGCCGCCGCCGGAGAAGCGTCCGACCCGAGCCCACCTCCGTGTCGGGCGAGTCAGGCGCTGGCCGCCGCGGCGTCGCCGTCGTCGACAGCGACTGGCGGCGCTCCTTCTCCGCCGAGAGCGCGGCCATGATGCGCCGCGGCACAAACGGCGTCGCCGCGGCACTCTCCGCCTCGGGCTCGGGCAGCGGCGGCTCGAGACGCGCCAGGAGCGGCGCCAGCTCCTCGGGCACGGGCAGCCGGTGCGGCGCCAGCACGCGGTGCCAGAGCCGGCGACTGGGCTGGGCGGCCGGCGCCGCCTCCAGCAGCGGGGCCAGCTGCTGCAGCAGGCTGGCCGGCTGCAGCTCCGGCAGCGACTGACGCACCAGCGACACCAGGGCCTCGTAAGCGGCCAGGACCTGGCGGCAGGTGACGGGGTGAGCGGGCTCAGCGTGCAAACAGTGCCGGCTGAATACCTAGCTAACCGCTTGCAGACAGGCTACGACTCAGGGTAAAAGCACCATCCTTTTGCAAACTTTTAAGCGAAAAAAAGACGAGTGGGGCCATATCCACCCACCGCCTTTCTCCTTGACACTGCATCTGTGATTAACAGGAAAGAAGTGCTCACATACAATCGGCAAACGTTCAACGTCCCACACCACTCATCACATAATGCTAGACGAGGCGAGCCAGGCCCGGCCTCCACTTCACCTCAGCACCAGCGCTCCCTGGCGTCACCCCGGTGCCGCCTCGACGGCCTCGCGCTAGCGCCGGGCGCCGCGCGAGCTCACCTTCTCGCGCGCTGGTGAGTCAGCCGGCGCGGCGGCCAGCAGATGCGCTGTCGCCGTCGCCAGGTGTCGCACGGCCAGCTGCGCCGCCGGTCCGGCCGTCTGGAGCGATGCCAGCCGGCGCGTCGCCTCGGCCAGATCGGTCGCAGCCGCCTGCGAGTCGGCGGCGGCGGCGGCAGCGGCAGCGGCGGCGCGCGCCGCCACTTCCGACAGCAGCTCGAACAGTGGCGCCAGCTGACGCAGCGGCGAGACGCCCTGGGCGCGGCGCCGCAGTGGCGAGTCTGCCGCGGCCAGGCGAGGGCGCCGTCAGTGGGACAGCCGGGGGGGGGGGGGGGGGGGGGTGCAGGACAGATGCCAGGCCCCGGCGGTCCAGTCAGCGGGACAGCTCGGTGGTGCGAGGACAGAGGCGGGCCAGCCCTGGTGGCCCCGTCAGCGGGACAGCTCGGTGGTGCGGGGATAGAGGCAGCCCAGTCCTGGCGGCCCCGTCAGCGGGACAGCTCGGTGGTGCGAGGACAGAGGCAGGCCAGCCCTGGTGGCCCCGTCAGCGAGATAGCTCGCAGGTGCGGGGGCAAAGGCCAGGCCCTGGCGGCGTGGCACCGGCACAGAGCGGTCACGGGGGCAGTCTGAGGGGCTCTGACATCAACGGCAGGACGCGCGGACGGGGCTGCGTCACCAAAGAGGCGGGGCTCGTGTCCAGGTCACGGCCGGCACGAGCCCCGAGTCCCGGGGCGATCACGCGTCGTCAGGGCGTGGGAGTGCCGGTGTTGGTGGCGCCACACGTGGTTGCCAAATACTGCTCCACATCCCGCGAAAGTTGTTGAAGTCAAGGGTTACCGCGCCGAAAATGGAAAATCATTGACAGGCGGCGGCCTACAAGACTCGGCGAAAGTTAGACAACGCCAGGCCCGAACACCTTAGCATGCCTTACTAACACGTGGCTTCCGATTCAATGTGCATAACGCGGACCACGCACACCACACTCAACAAACTGCCCCCACTCCCCGCTCTCTTCAGCATACCCCAGCAGCAGTCCTTCTCCAGGCCACACTCATTCGACACAGCCTCGTCTCCACCCCTAGCCCCGCCGTTCCCCAGTCCCCACCTCTCCATTACCATCCAGTTCCCCAGTCTTAACCTCGACAGCACCAACAATCTCCCGAACTTTCCTTCCTCAACCCATTCCCACCACAGCTCCTCGCATGAACCACCGCCAGTACCGCGGGTCGCCCACCGGCGCCCGCCCTCCCACGCCGCAGGGTCTGCTCACCGTGCTGCGGCCGGGCCTCGTCGCTCTCTTTGAGCAGAGCCGAAGCAGCCATCACTCGGAGACAGGCAGCAGCGGAGGCCGGCGGCGGCGGCACGGCCGCCAGCAGCCGGCCGGCCACCTCGGCCGCCAGCGCGTTGGGCTCAGCCGTCGGCACCAGCTCGGCGGCGACGCGTGCCGCGCGGTACAGCCGCGCCCAGAGTGACGCCCAGCCGGCGGTCGGCCAGGCCAGCGGCGCGCACAGCAGCGCCGCCACCGGTCCGAAGTCGTGGCCCAGGGCGTCGCCAGAGTCCACCTCCTGCGTCTGGGGCGGGGCAGGAGAGGGTCGGTCGGAGCGGACACAGACTTCTACGGCAGACTTCGATGTTCGTTGGCGTATAGAAAGCGGTAGAACTGTGGGGAATCGGTACTTAGCCCAGAGGAGCCAGAGAAAAGATACAAACGGGCGGCAGATGTGAGGCAGCCGAACGCTAAGTAGCACAAGTCGGAGACTAACACTGAGTCAAAAAAGCACTTCTAACCACGACGTAAGACGGACGAAAGACGCCCGGATCAGACACGGATGGTCCACCCACGCCGAAAAAGCCATACCGCATGTACATCCTACCGCCGACTCCTCCGACCAGATCACTCGCATTCTCACGAGTCGCCAGCATCTCCGCCCTCCTCCCCACCACCGCCCAGCCCCCAGTCACCTTCTCCACGTGTGTCAGCAGCGTCTCGGCCAGCGCCGTCCACACCAGCAGCCCGTCGTCGGCCTGCTGGGCCGGCCCACTGTGGCGCAGCAGTTCGGTCAGCTCGGGCAGCCGGCGCAGTACGTCACCGCCGCACGAGGTGACCAGCCGGCGCACAGCGTCACACGCCGGCGGCGCCGCCCAGCGCTGCCGGCCCAGCGCGCGCAGCAGAAAGAGCGCCGGCGCGCCGCTCAGCGCCGCACCGTCCATGTGGTGCACGCTCGACCAGAGGAACCGCTCGGGGAGCAGCGACACCAGCTGGTCCACAGAGGCCAAAACCTGCCGGGGAGAGCGGTCCAGATGGAGGCCGGGTCGGCCGGAGCGAGGCACCTCACGCAACAGGAACACCAGAGACGAGTGAGCCGCGAAATGCCGTGAAATGGACATAATCCGTGAATTGACTCGGTAGATCGTAATATCATCAGATGAGTGGACACACAACTTAAACCACTTCCGAGTTCAAACCACTTGCGCCGAGTGATATTTTTCACCAGGATATTCCAACGCATCACTTTTAACTAGCATACACGCTTCTCTGTTTCGGAACAAGTTACATTAATGACCAGATTCGCTCCTCTCTTCAGTCCAGCCGCGCTGTCTCCGCAGGTAGCCTACCACCGTTACACAGACGTCGCTCTCCGGCGCCACCGACACCCACCTCCTCGACGATGGACGGCGGCAGCGGGGCGGCCAGGACGGCGTCGGCGGCGCGCAGCACAGCCTTCAGAGGCGCCGCCTGCTCGCGGCTCAACGTCTGGCCCGGCCCTGCCAGCTCCAGCTGGCGCGCCACGCCGCGCAGCAGCGGCTGGAAGAGCGCTCCGGCCAGCCCCACGGCCGGCATGGCACGCATGCAGACGGCCACCGAGTCGGCCAGCAGGGCGGCGTGCCGCGCGAACACGGCGTCCGTCACTGCCGGCCGCGAGAGGCGCGGCAGCTCGTCGAACGCCCGGCAGCCGGGGTTCAGCAGCTGGACGAGCGCGGCGCGCGCCTGCGGGTACCCCTCAGCGTGCGGCAGCACCTGACCGTGCCCCCTGTCGCCCGAGCCGAAGCAGAACTGCAGGAAGTGCACTACTGTGAGGTCGAAGGCGGCGGCCAGGTGGGCGTCCAGGCCGAGCAGCAGGTCCCACCAGACGCGCAGTTTCTCCTTCAGGATGGACGGCAGCCGGGCGTTGCTGGCGACCAGCGGGACCAGCAGCAGCTTCAGCCGCTTGCCATTCTCGTACAGGCGGTCGTCCAGCAGGAAGTTGGCCACCAGCGCCCGCCAGGCCACGAAGCCATGACGTCGCAGGTCGTAGTTGGAGCTGCGGAACACCGTCTCCACGACCTTCAGCAGGCCGTTGATGAGCGTCGTCTGCTGTAGGTCGGTGCCCAGGTAGCGGATCATCAGCGTCCACGCGGCCAGCGCGTCCAGGCTGCGGTCCGGCGCCGTCACCAGCTCGCGCAGCGAGTTCAGCAGCCGCTGCGACATGCGCCGCATCAGATCGCCGTTGATACGGCCGCGCGCAGCCAGCGGCAGCGCGGCGCCCAGCCTGAGTGCCGCCATCGCCTCGTGGTGCGTGGTCACGGCCGGGTCGAACACGGCGTCCCAGAGCGGCAGCAACAGGGACACGGCGCGAGCGCCGATCTGTGGCGAGGCGAGCGCGGCGCGCGCCAGGTGAGCTGCTGCCAGCCGCGTGGAGGACGCGCCCGGCTCGAGTAGGCGCGCCACGGCCACCAGCAGCGGCTCAAGCTTGGCGTCGGGCAGCAGGCCGGCCAACACCAGCGGTTCCAGGCAGTAGAGGGAGCGCACCACCCGGCGCCGGCCCCGCGGCGACTCCAGCACGCCCAGCAGCCAGCTGGCCGTGGCGGCGGCCACCGGCGCCGGAGGGGGCGCGAACCGCTGCAGCAGCACCGCCAGCGCCGCCAGCGCCGCCCGGCCTACCTCCTCCGACGGGCTGAGCACGTGCAGCCGCACCTGCTCTAACAGGGCTGCCGCCTCCTGCGGCGGCACGCTCGCGCGCTGCTGCAGCTCACTGGCGGTGAACGAGCGCAGACGGTCACACACTGCCGCCGAGGTCACGGGGAGCCAGTGGAAGACAGGGATAGCGGAACCATAGCAAGCCAGGTTTGGTGACCAGGGTGAACTTGAAATATCCTAGCAATCACTGACATATAGAGCTTGAGAGCTATACCATGCCTTAGTTGAGCTGATCACAACATGCACTAAATGTGATGGTTTTTAACAGAGACACAGCTAAAGTTACTTACCTTGCAAGCTGCTCATACTTCTGAATCAACTGAGAATCTTCAGAATTTTCAATATTTTGTAGTGGTTGTCCATCTTGAGATCTGCCATTAGATAAAGCATGATTGTCCACTGCATTGTCCACATCAGCCATTGTGTGTTGATTTAAACCAGACCTGAAATAAACAAGACATTCCTTACAAGCAGTGTACAACTTCCACAACTTCACTTACTTTCAACATAACTTAACATCACAAGAAAATGTGAAGTGAGGCAGTTTGCAGCATGATAAGCTAGCCTAGCTTTGGAGGCCCAATGGCTGACTTCTTTAAGACACCCCCAGTATTGCATATTCAAATATGCCTTCAGCCAAACAACAAAGTAATTTTGTAATCATCTCTTATTTTTCATACATCTAAGACCAGTGTATACTCTGCATGAATAAAAGCCCAATATTTAAAGTACTGGGCCAGACAAAACCACCATTTTGAATTTGATACACAGGAAGCTGTAGCCTGCTTAGTGACTTATTTGGTAGCTTTCTTTTAACTCTGTTGCTTTTCTTTATGCTGCAAAAATCTGCAAGGTTGGCATGGGCCCGGCAGGATGTGAGAAGACACTAGTGATACTTGTCATGAAAATATTTTAGCTTGAAGTGTTACAGTCAATAATGAAGTGTACACAAGGTAATATTTTGGCCATTCATGACTCACTGAGCTAAAAAAATTGAGTCTGGGTGTCAGATATGGGCTGATTATCTAGATACCTGACCAAATGCTGCCAAAGCTGCCCAAAATCAGCTGAATGCCCCCAGCAATAACTAACAACAGATGCACATATCAATGCATATCCACATGACTGTAGACTTGATACTTTTCTGGATTCCAATATCTGAACAAATTTTGAAGTGAACCACACTGCTTTAAGCTTGGCCTTGGAAATGCATATTCATATGCAAGCACTGAGCCTTTGTCACATTTATGTAATGAAATTAAGAAAATTTGTCTTCTTTGGACACATTGACACCCAAACACATTATTGTCTTCATTGTCATCATCATTTGTCTCCATCTTCATTATTGTCTATTGTATTGGACACACATTATTGTCTGGACACATTTGGACAGCACCAAATAAAAACATAATTAGTCATTCTACTTCTAGCATGACGCATTTACAATTGATATGGGGATGGTTGATAACAATGGTCCTTTACGGGTATGCTAAGCAAGAGCCTGTATAGGCAAAAGAAGGCCATTAGATGGCTTATATGTGGGTGTAAGTTGTTTGTTTAATCTTAATGCTATTCACTAACTTGACAGCTTCAATCTGTTGCTTTTTTAACATCACAATCATACTCATTTACTGATCTTTTAACCAGTGTTAATGTTTCATTATCGACATCTCCTCACTTATATATCACTGAATTCATAAATTCCCCTTGGTGCTTTAATGTATCACTTTTACAAGTAATTCTTACATAAAGTTTCTGTTTACTACTGTTGTATGGATCTGAGGGTATGAACTATTGACAAAACTGTCATAACTTATTTGTGCATTCATATTACTGTTTACTCACTTGTGGTAATCTAATTCACACTTTCTCCTGACTTGCTCATTGCATCAGAAGTGGCTGCTTACATCAGGCAACTGTAAGTAATCATTAGATGTCATCATCATTCCTGCAGTTAGTATAGTATACCTTTGTACAAACAGTACTATGCACAACATAGCAAAAATCATGTTAGGATTGTGAGATATACACTGGAACTTTGAACTGCATGCACTTCCAGGATCAGTGCTCCATCAGAAAACACTTGTTGCAGGAACCTGGCACTATTTGTCACCACACTGTTGTGATTCCAGGTCAAAGGGACAATGAAGTGGTGGAATTTAAATAAACTATAATACTCCATGCTCTACCCCACCCTTTAAATTCACCTGACATTTAGAAGAGGCATTGCCATGGGGTACAAGCATCACAGTAAGAGCAAATAGTGCTAAAGGCAACTGAAGCCACCCTGGCACAGGTTCACCAGTCCAGAAACAGTGTAAACAACTGTGTTGCTAGTGGACAAAACAATGAGTTAATGCCTTTCCAACACCCAGTTTGACATAAATTCAAAAACAATACCAGGAAGTGTCTAGCTGTTGATACTGTTGAAGATTTACCACCAAGAAAGCCACTCAACGATAAACAGGGCGCAGACACACACCACCCATTAACAGGTCATGCCTCACTCACTGCTGTCGTGACAAAGCCTTCCGACTAACACATGGCCAGGATCGCACCGCTCAGTCAGTCTTTGCGCAGAGCAAGTGAAATCGTTAGCAAGCACAAAACAGTTCCAAGTTTACGTTTGCATTCGAGGACCCCAAACAGGACAAGTCCACACACGCCCGACATCCAATCGAACGCCGTGCGCCACGCGCGCGCGCGAAGCCTTCAGCTTGTTTCCTCCAGTCAGGCGCCGCCGCCTTATACACAATATTCGCCAGCATCGTCTGATTTGCTTCATAATCGTATTCCCGCGCTTATATTCTAAAATATCGCTAGCAAATTGTTGTGCGGCACCTGTAGGCCGCTAGTCCATCAGCGGTTTTTGTTCATTTTTGGCTGGGGGATCGATACAAGCTCCCTTAAATTAGATCTCAATAGGAACCGCACGGTTCGATTCGGCGAAGTCCATTCAAGCACTGGAGGCAAACTACTGTAAAACATGTGTGGATGAATGTCGTGGCCAACGATTCTCATAGCTCAAAGCTATCCAACGTCGGCCGCCGTCAAGCAAAACGACTTCTAACCCGGGGTTGGATCCAGGGAAGGGGCACAGGGCCAAGGCCCCTTAGTCCCGAATAGGTTTATTAACCTCGAATGGGCTCATAGCTGGCCGAACAGACGCAGTTTTTTAAACGGCACGTAACACAATCGGACGTCTGGGCTTCCAGGCGCCCAAGAACAGTCGCAAGCCGTCAGTCGTCGAGGGCGCAGGCGGCCAAGCCGGAAGGCTGCAACGATCTGGTACCGAGTATTAGGCTCGGAAGGTATGTAGGTACCACGATCATTCCTGTATCACGAACATAACGACACTGCACGACACTTCAGGCATTCGGGTTTTCAAGTCCAACACCGCATGCACGGTACAGTACTATGAGGGCTGCCAGAAACACGGGAGGCTAACCCGTAAGCTTTCCATGACCAAATGTCGAGTAAAAGGATCGAAAGAAAGCTATCAGCGGGCGTCGATGCAATCACGACAGCGTCGCTCCAACCGATTCCAATGAGTGTGTGATTAGGGATTTACGACGCACCCAGCTGCTTGGGCTATATGACGTTCTCCGACTCACAATGACAGCAGAGGCGGTCCACCCCGGGAATCAAACCCCGGACCTCTGGTTTCCGAAGACGCGTAGCATAACCACTTCACTATCGTATTCCCAATGGTGCAAACAAGTCTAATCAGGCGTCGTTTGTATGTTCAACCTTGGACGAATATTGGGTATAGTGTGTGTAGTTCGCGTGGCTTAGTCGTAAAGAAAGCACTCCTTGTTTAACCTTGTTCACCTATGATCATGAGCAAAGCTTTGAAACGCCGAGTTGTATCAACATAACGAATGCTGGCTTGATAACGCTGCCTAACCAGTACCACCTCCTGGCTCATTGAAGTTACGGCTCACGGTTGACAGCAGTCAAACAATTTCTTTTTTGGCGACCTTCTACCTTTTTGTTTTGAGGCAGCATCCAACCACTGGTCAAGAACAATCTCTCTGCTCTCATCAAACTCAGTCTCAGTCTGAATCTCTCGTTAACCCTCTTGGAACGGTTGTAGCTGGGTATTGTTATGAGCCTAGAGCCACACGGAGGCTTTCGTTTCCATTTTAATAGACTTTTTCAATTTGTTTTCCAAAACGTCCGCCTCAGTACCAATGTTTTCCCCCGAGGCTCCAGGTTACAGAACGACTCACTCCTGCCGTTTGCCTTTTTATATTTTTGAAAATAACTGGGGTGTTCCATGGTATGACAGACAGCAACTAGCATTCAGCTTTGCAGCCACACCTGATCGTTCCGTTGCGCTCCAAAAAAAACTCCCCTCTTCGTTGTTACGCTTCCGTTCCGCCCCATCAAATACCCTCCACTTTCCTCTCCCTGCCCAACATAACGTATTGACAGCCCCTGGGGAAGAGAGGGAAGGTTATATAGCAATTCTAGCTCCTACAGCACGCTGGCTGTGTGAAATACACCAATGAAAATGTCCAAAAATATTGAACAGTGTGCTCGAGCTACCGTTTGTATGGCCTGTTTTCATTATCTTTACTAGATTCAATAAAATTACCACTTAATGCTTCACTTCAGTCTGCAGTTGAAACAGTTTGATTATTGTCGAAAACCTGACGGAAAGGATGTGTAGTTTTTCCCAGAAAACCGAGTTACTTCCAGGCACAGGCGGATCGAGTGTAAGTCCAACATTAACACTTCTGCATTTGAAGCAGAATGAACAGATAAAACTAGTTTTCAGCTTATGGCATTATCTGAATTTCCACTGCCCCATCCCACCTTATCTGTGGCGAACATTTCCATCCTTCCGTGCTTTGAAGTGCAAGTCATTCCCCAGGGGAAATTAAATTACCAGAGAGAGAACGACTCATCAAGAACCAGTTAACTGGAATTGTAGGTGACAAGAGCAGAGCAAATTTCACTTAATTTCTGACATAGAATAACTAAACAGAAGGAAATTGCCTTGTCGTGTCTATGCACGCAGAATGCCGCCAAACAGGGGGGTGATACGAGCGCTTAGGGATCGGGAAACGCTCAGCTTATTCCATGCTCTAGACCGCGCATCGAATCAGGGTGTTTGCAGTAAAAGACCATACACATTTTAAACTGAATTAAGTAACGCACCTGCCTACACCTATGCGCAGGGTCTTGTTTGAAAGGAAACAGGAGACAAACACACGCGCACACACACGCACACAAATGCACACACAGACATATATATATATATATATATATATATATATATATATATATATATATATATATGTTCTTGAATCACGCTAATGGGCGTGTCCTTACAGTGTATTTTCATATTGGGTTTGCTGTTACCACAAAGTCGGAATGTAAATAGTGATACGACGGACAAGGAGTCCCCTACGGAGCAGCAGGAAGTACTTTATTACAATTTTGAACGTACTGTGAGGTTCGCAATATTCAGAGACAAAAATCTTGGACGGCAAGACTCCAAGGATTTCAGCTAAAGATATGGGAGTGCAGTCACGGGAAGACAAAAGTTGGGAGCTAGCCGCTGGCCACGTACAAAACATGCATCTCAAAAGAACGTCCCCAGACTGTATAGTGCTTCAACTCGGTCGAGGGTAAGAAAAACGAACACATTTCAAGGTTAAAAGAGTTAACTATACCCGTAATCGTGTAGATAGTTGCACAATAGAATACATAATTTATTGTGGTGCGATGAAAACTAACGATTGCACTCGACATTGCACTGATCATGTTTTCATAAGCACTTATCGACCTTCACGCCCTTGACCTTCATGGCTACGAGCGTATATATATATATATATATATATATATATATATATATATATTATATATAACATATGCCCCGTCCATTTCTAACCAATTCACCCGCCCTTCACCCATCCGTAAGCACTCATCCACGCTAAGCTTTTAAATTTATACAAAGTTTAGGAGCGTTTCTACCCAGAGTTACGCTTGCGCTAAGAATTGCAAAGATCATGCGAATGGAGTCTATAAGGTTTAAGAAAAGCGCAAGCAGCATTGTGCAGCTTTTTATGAAGCACTCACTTAACATTTCCTATATATCTCCCCCATACCCTTGATCGTACCAGCCATGTCCCCAAATCAAAACTCAACCCATCCCGCCAACCATGCTATAAGGATGTCATTGGTTTACCTAACCCTTGCAGTCCTCTAGTGACGGCGGCGCGTTGTTAGTAATGAGACAGACAGCATGAACGCGCAGGCTATAACGCGGGTTCGTTGACATACCTATACACCAGCCATGGTGGTGAACAGCACGTACATTCATGCATCGTCAAAAGGTACCTCTATTTTGTCTTAAAACAACAGCTACTCTAAATTCATCAATCTCAAGTAAAGTTGCCAGTTTCTCCCGCGCTCAAAACCACCCCAGAAAAGTGGCGGCGCCACGGACTTTGAGTTGAGAGGATGGAGTCCAGGGGGCTCCTAGATAGAGTGGGGCTTCCTCACAGGCGGGGGGGGGGGGGGGGAGGGGCTCCCGCGCAGCATCGTATTCAAAGGGGCGTGCACTGGAGGCAGATGCTCCCTTATCGCATTGTTATATGCATCAATATCCACGTAAGGAACTATCGACAAATCAAGATCCAGAATGAGGGTCTTCTGACTACTGCAGCTGTCTTCTTGATTCAGCGAAGGGCATCTCAATCCTGAAAAAACAAGGCTTCATGTGCCAGAGAAGAGTTTTCTGATGCATAGAGGGACCTTCTAATCTATAACATGATCCTTCCGATTCATCAAGAAGCACCAAGGCCGGCAAGGAGCCTCGTTATCCTAAAACACGGAATTCTGATCAGAAGATGCGCCTATCTCATACACAGGCCCGCAGCCGGGCCGGTGCACTGGGTGACTGTGCATCATACACAGGCCCGCAGCCGGGCCGGTGTACTAGGTGACTGTGCATCCGCTGGGATGTGGGGGTTGAAACCAGCCTCATTCCGTACAGTCCCTGTACTTATGGTGCGGGGTTCATGACGACTGCATGGAGCCCCTCCTGGTATTGAGATCCGTGATAACCGTAACGGAAACACGCTGGAGTCAGCGCTTGCCTCATGTCAAGTTTTTTACCACTTTCAAACCGTGTATCATTTGTCATGCTGGCGTTTTGACGGATTGCCGAAGTTTTTGGTGTGGGCAGAGGATTTCTATCCACCATAAAATGCGTTCAAATTTCTATGAGAGCGTAGTGATATTGAAGCGGTAGTATCTTAAGTCGCAGCAATCGAATGCTCAGCGCTATGCACGTGTGTTAGATTACGATCCACATTCATGGGCGGTTTACAATGCCAGTAGATGTAAAGCTACAACCTACTAATGCTGTACAGGGAACAAAACCGGCTTCAGCTTCGGCTTTCCCAAAACCGTACCTTTCCTTCAATGGCTTCAGACTCATAGGAGGATCCTGGGAGGGGGGAGGGGGCACGGGGCAATGCCTCCCCCCCAAAAAAACCTCTGAGAGCATGTTTTGGTCCCCCAAAACATTCCCAGAACTTCATAAAAGTTCTGCCTACTGACCGTCTGTTTTAACTTTAACTGTTTTAACTGCTTTGTTTTAACGTCTGTTTAAGATTCAAAAGTATTTCGGTGTTTTTTTTCGGTTTTGAATGGTGTCCCTACTA